TTCTCATTCTGGTAATGTTAATATGTAAAATGATTTAAATAATAAGCTAATCATAATACTTAGACCTGAGAATGAAAAACTAATTAGAGGCTACACAGGTATAGTAAAAATGGGGAAGCTTATTTAAATGATGCAAACATAGACCCAATCATGGACTCCACTTTCTCCTCAGACTTCAAGGGAACTAAAGCAACTTTGAAGGGGACGGTCCATGGAGCTGAAGTTGAGCATTTTGTTTCTCAAAATATTAGTTCCGGATAGATATTGTGTAGTGGTTAAGACAGCACTTGACATACACCCATACTACTACAGAGCTCCTGGATTCAAATTCTTCCTCTAGTCCCTATTCTAGCTTTCAGCCCATGTGCAGCCTGAGACCCTCATTGGGTCTCCGTCACGGACCTGCCAGACCCTGAATTTCTGACTGCTTGATTTAGCTTTGCTAGTGTGAGCAGTTGAGCAGTAAGCCAGCATCTGAAACTTCCCTCTCTCCATCTCTCGCCTTTTTTCTCTGTCTCCTCTTTTTGTCCCTCTGTGTGTGTATGTGTGTGTCCTCTCCCTATGCCTTTCTGCCTTGCAAATTAATAAAATAAGCACATTTTAAAAACAGTAACTGACTAATGGATATTAACTTCATGGCTTTGATTGTCAGCTGTCAAGAGGCACTTGTCCAACTTTCGAATCCCATATTCCTGAAATCGAAAGCTGTGTGCCTTGTGCTCCGTATGTTCCGCCACGTTTTGAATGCTGACCTGGGGATCCCTGTGGTGCTGGCTAAAGGGAAAAAAGGCAGCACAGTCTTCTCCAGGTTTCAAAACCACAAGTATTTTTTATTTTTTTTAAAGATTTATTTTTATTATGTTTTATTGGAAAGGCGGATATACAGAGAGGAGAACAGAGAGGAAGATCTTCCGTCTGATGATTCACTCCCCCAGTGAGCGCAACGGCCGATGCTATGCCGATCCGAAGCCAGGAGCCTCTTCCGGGTCTCCCACGCGGGTACAGGTTCCCAAAGCTTTGGGCCGTCCTCGACTGCTTTCCCGGGCCACAGGCAGGGAGCTGGAAGGGAAGCAGGGCTGCCGGGATTAGAACCGGCGCCCATATGGGCTCCTGGGCGTGCAAGGCAAGGACCTTAACCACTGCGCCACCGCGCCGGGCCATAGTTTTATATTCTTAAGTTTTAATGTTTAATTTTTAGCTCTCATTTAAAGATCTGACAAAGTTGAGGGGATTCTCATCAAGCTCCTTTGGCATTTCAAGCAGTTTCATGAATATTTTTACTAACCAGCTATATAGTTGCATGATTAACTAGCATACTTTAAAAACTTTGAAGGAATCAAACACAAATCTTCTCTGAGCTATTGGCTTTCTCTTTATAGGCATTTAGGCAGATGTCTTTATTTCTTGTCTCCTGTGGGTTATTTCTGGATTGGAAACAAGCAAGTGTGTATCTGCAGTGACAAGTTTCACAAACACTTTGAGAACTATGTCCCATGGCTCTCTTAGTTAAGACCACCCCCTACTACGAATCAATCCATTTGCTATTCCCCATTTCCCTAAAAGTGCAGAGTTTAATTATGTTTACTGACTTAATTTTAAACATATGTATATTTAAATGAAGCCTATGACGGGCAATTCAAATATACCTGCTTACGTAAGAGGCAGCACTGGGGAAAGAAAAAAGAGCTCTTGTCCAAAATATCTGAAATATCCGAACCTCTCTGAAAACTGACTGCTGCATTTATAGAATCAGACTCATAATACATGCGACTGTTCTTCAGAAAGATTATAGAAAATGTAATTAAAGCAGTTTATTTTGATGATTTTTGCAGTCATCGTTCATTAGAAAAATCTTTAAAATATCATAAACTCTGCTCTAGATGCAGAAAGTGTAAACCTGCCCCCATTTTCTCTAATATATATTGTCTTTATGTGTGGAATTTTCTTGTAGGTTTAGAATTTTTTATAAATCACATAACATGATCAAATAAAAGCTTGTCCTTCTCTTGCACTGATGATAAAGAACACTAACATATTTAAATATTTAAAAATGTTTTTCCTGTCTATCATTGACAATAATTCGGTTAGTTTGACTGAGTCAGTTTGGACATGGTGAAGGCTCATGTGTAGTGGGCTGGGTTGGGCTAGTCTACAGCATCCATTGGTCTGTGTAAGACATGAGACTGGGGACAGAAATGGCCCAGCAATTGCCAGTATGTATATAGGCAGATGTTGGTGACAGATTGAGCCAGACCCCATCCTGGCAAACACACATGAGATTCAGGACCGTGATCACTTCAGATGAGGTTTCTTGGGGATTCCCCCCAAGTAAGCCACTGGACTTGAAACTCCAATGATGGGGAGAATTGCAGGATCAGTGGACTGACCACGGAGTGCATGTGTCTGAAATGGGCCTCCTCAATGGCTAAGATGGAACAGTGGATGGCATGTCCAGATACACAGAGGATATGGCAGTCAGTTAGGGCCTGCAGGGGGTATCTGGTGCTATAGCAGGGGAAGAAGGGCAGAAAAATTGCTGAACTATTCCAGCCAAGAGTTAGCAGCAAATGCCTGGGCGAATGGGAGCACTAAGGTGGACTGTGTCAGCCAATGGACCTTGGAAGGATTTCCTCATCCTTGGATTGATGAAATCGACAGCATTTCAGAACTATTGAAAACACTTAAGCAGAATCTTTGGTGTATGCTGCACATCAGCACCCTGGAATGACATTGGGTGGCCATTCCCCATCCCAGTTATTGAGGCAGCTGAGAGACTGGGTGAGGCATCTCCCCTTAACTCCCCCATTCCCCAAGATAAAGGAGGAAGAAAAACAATTTGAAAACAATGGTCTCACCCAATTTTCCCTAATCCTCCACCCTTCCCACCCTGAGCAACTATGTAAACACCATCAAAAATAAAAAGAAATTTTTAAAAAGGAAAATAAGCTGGAAATACATTACAGTGATTACAGCTACATTTAGAAATCAATAGGAAAAAGAAATCACTCAAACTCTAATTTTAAAGGTATCACCTATTGATCAGTAATTTCTTTGCAATTTCATCTTTGGACTATGTTAACACTTATAATTGTTGTTTGATTATTTAAGAAGCATAGTATTAATCACTTAAGTAGAGATCTAGGGTTTTATGAAAATTATGCTTCTATTTATCTTGTAAAGTGATAAGAGAGAAAAAAAATCCAAAAAAGGAAAAGAAAGCAAGGAAGCAGCAAGAAAGGAAGGAAGCAGTGAAGGACAGAAGGGAAGAGGGAGGGAGAGAAAGAAAGAAAGAAAGAAAGGAAGAAAGAAAGAAAGAAAGCAAGCAAGCAGACAGAAGATCTCTTTCTTTTTCTCTGTAGCTCTGTTTTTTCAAAGGACTAAATCTATCTTCTTAAAAAAGAATGTATCTATGTGTTTCTTTTTATTTAATTCATTTTAAAAATATTTGTTTGAAAGGCAGGGGAGAGAGAAAGAGATCTCCCATCCACTGGTTAATTTCTCAAATGTCTACAAAGTCAGGATTAAGATACACTGAAATCAGGAGCTTCAGATGGGCCTCCCATGCGAGTAGAAGGGAACCAGATTCTTGGTTCATCCTTTGTTGCTTTCCTAGGTGCATTAGAAGAAACTAGATTCTAAGCGAAACAGCCAGCACACAAACGAATGCTCCTGTATAGAATGAAGTCATTGTAAGCTTCGTAAGGACAGCTGATGTGTGATTTACTGACTGCTGAAGGCATTTGTACCAGTTTAATATTCATATCTATTTATGCCAAAACTTGGTTGTAGGCAAAACAGTTCAGACGATGTGTCAGATGGCTACTGACAGAGAGGTTTGCAAATCTGTTTCCACATTCTTTAAAGGAAGGAAATTATATAAATATGTCAAAGTCCCATGAAAATAAACAGGACTTTTTGAAAGGAAAACACAACGAATGACAGCCTACATTTCTTGCATGTGTTCTATGCCATTTTAGTTTTCCACCAAACTGAAAGAAATACGAACAATGGCGCTCAAACATTGCCTTCAAACACAAAGCATTATCCATTAAGAAAACAAAAAAAAAGATTAAGAAAGCAAAGTGGCCAGTTCTTCCAACTTCACCCGGGTTGGGGCTGCATACAGTCCATGTGCCAGTCACTCTGCCACCCATCAACTTCCATGTGACCCAATCCAGTACAGCCACTACCAGCAGGAGATCACCTGCCAGCCAACCTGATTCCATCCCAAGAGCCTGCAGAGGGCTTAACGGCCAGAGAAAAAATACACCAGATTTCAAAAAGAACCTAAGAACCCATGTCTGGCTTTGTCTCATGGATTCCACCCACATTGTGACTGCTCACGTAAGAGGCCCAGCTTATTGCCAGGCAACAAACCAAACCCTTGCACTGGAGGGGAACACAATAGTGTTTCTCCACATTTTCCTTGGTATTTACTGTAACCTATCATTTCAATCCAGCACAAGATAGCTGAATGCTTCTATTCCTATCATGGGCTACAAAAAGAAGAAGGAGAATAAGAAAAAATTGTGTCTATGAATTAAGGCATACCTGCATTAAAAATCGCTGGAACATTCCCGTTGTCTTCCAAGTCACTTTCCCTGACCCCAGGAAACAGCCAGGGTTTGAAATGGGAGCTGCAAACAAAAGTTAAACATTTTTTCTTTTCTAAAATGTCACAGGAGAATGAAGGAGAAAGGAAAAAACAGAAGCATAAAAAGATAGAAGGAGAAAGAATTAAGGAGGAAGGAGCAAGAAAGGTCTTTTGGAGGAATTCGAGGTTGTTTTTCTCTCGCTCCAAAATGAAATAAAAAAAAAAAACTGTTCTAATTATTATGAGTACTTTGAAATCTGACTAATCAAACTCACTCCAATCACCTTTTTTTTTGTTATGTCCTGATAATCAATAGAATGAATTCCTGTTTTTCTCTAGCAAGTTACCGAGACAAAAGTGTAACAAAGCTTCTTTAAAAGTCTAGAAATTGCTAGTAACCTTTTCCCCCCACAGTATACTCTGCCTGAGAGTGTCAAAGATTTGTCTGAAAGAAGTGACTTGATAAACATACGTGTCAACCGCCTTGCTTATGTAAATATACTACAAAAACCCAAGATGCAATATTATATTGTGTTGATATAAAATGATTGTGTTTTACTTTCAGTTCTAATTTGTCTCATGAACATTTTCAGCCTCAATATTACAACAAAAAGCGCATTCTACTGCATATTTTTCACTCTAGGTTAACACTAGGCTAACTTGAACTACTGTTCAAGATTGCCTTACCAAGGCTTTTTTTTTTTCTTAAGGAAAAACAATGTTATGACATAGAATTGTTTCTCATTGTTCTAATTTGGTTAATTTTGTTCTTGTTCATATGGGATTTTACTGATTGAAGTAACCGATCACCTATTTAAGATATCCCGAATTAAATAAAAATAAGAACCTCTTGGAAGGCACAGATATTTACAAGCTAGGAACAGAAGCAGAAAGGAAACGTTCCTTTCTGTACAAACTGTCCACTAAGAGCTGAAAGAAAGAAAGAAAAAACGAAAAACATTCCACATTGAATGTTCTGAAAACCCATCTTAAAAATAGTACTTATTTTACATTTGATGAAAATGAGCCAATTAGTATTCTGTAAAAATAAGTTTTTCCATAATGAAATTCCATTAGCATGCCATTTACCCTGAAAGCACTCTGGCTTTATGTATTTTTTGGTGCATATGCTTCTGTGATCCCACCCAACTGCTATTTGTTTGTTTTGAAGTCAATTGGGTATTTCTCTCCCAGAATAATCCAGTCTTTCAAAGATGTTACAGCAGTCCCTTCACTTGTGGAACGGTTTTTTCAACTGCAAAATGTAAAAAAAAAAAAAAAAAAAAAATCGGTCTCTTGGACACCTTCCAGAAGAAAATTCCGCAAGTCTGCGATGCCTGTGCTATTATTTCAGTCGCATGAACAGCTACAACAGATCACGAGTGGCTGCGGGTGGGGGTATCCGTCACCAACACAGAACCCAAAGCTGCCAGGCTACCTGTTCCGTCGAGTCACACACGTTTGAAAAGATGGCGTTCGACTTTTATCCGTCATCTTTTTCATCATCTAACCGCTAATTCTGGTAAAAAAAAAAAAAAAAAAATCATTGTAACGGTCACATGAGTAGATTTAGCTCCCAACACGCAAAATATTGTTATATCGGAAATTTGCGTTGAAAGAAATGACATACTTAGCTGCTTCATCTTCGACAGCTGGAAAAGACGGCATAGGACACGCTTTTGGGGACGCAACGGAAAACTTCAGGGATGTAAATAGTGCATTACTCCATTTCTGCTTCCGCTGGAGTTCACTTTCTAATTCTCCAAACTGTTGTCTTGACAGGTCTGTGTTCCCCGGCCAGGCTGCGGTACGTTTCGCTGCTTGTCAGACGCCTGCTCGCTCGCGCCCTTTTTCATTATACAGTATTGCTCTGTGCTTAGCCACTGTATCCGTTCATGCAGACATACTCTACCTTCCGTCTAACACTAAAATTGATTTGCTAGGCGCCCCTTTGCTGCTTCGCATTGCACGTCTTCCCATTGAATTTCTCGTGTCAAGAACACAGCTCTGACTTTCTACTTTCAGCCTCTGAAATCTGAACATTCTTTGGGTTTTCTGAATATTTAAATAGCTTTGTGCCTCATGTCAATGTATTTCACTCGATAGTACTTTTTCAATGCGATCTTGCATTATGCTTTGAGAGAATTCTGTGCTTACTTTAATTTTAATTTCAGATTCTTTCTGCTTTAAAATTATTAAAAACTTACTGGTCTTTTCAAGCAAGTGGATGGCAGCTAAGCCTTTTTGGTAAAATGCAAAGTTCCTAATTAGTATTTTCTTTAGGAAATGTAAGTTAAAAAAAAAAAAATCCCTCTATCATGTAACATGGATTTTCCTGAAGGTAATTGCTGATTTTCAACACACGGAATAGAATAAGAAATAAACAATTTGCTTTTAAAAAATCTAAATATCTGCAAATAAGTGACACAAATATGTTTTCTCCCCTTTGCAAAAATGAAAGAAAAGAAGGTAAGTTAGCTCAGGTCAGCAAATCTGTGACCTAAGTTGGCACCTGGTCTTTGATGCTCTTAGAAGAAAACAGAGCCCCAGCATTCACTGGCTAAAACACATCTGTTATGTAGCACTCCGTTTTAACTGATCAAACTTGGAGACTTTTGGAAGAGTAGGTCAAAGTTCAAACTTCTTTCCAAAAGTGTAGCCATTGTGTATTGAAATACCAAAGATGATTCATTCAGTCAACCTAATATCTACTCATCAAGGAAGAGAGCGAGCTAAGAAGGTATTATAGCTTTCTCTAGCATAACATGTTAAGTGCAGCATTCCAATCTAAAAAGGTGGAATTGTTCCTTTGAGTAAAATAATTAATGAGCCCAACGGAAGGAAAGCTGTTACGAGAGAGACCTCTAGTGGACAAACAAGCAAGTGCCTCTGTAACGGGGTCCTTATTGTTTAGTACCCCACTGAAAAGGACTTTGAGAATGGTGTTTCAGGCAGTTTTCACACCACTGGAAGCTAAATTCCTTTTTCTACTTGGTCCATGCTGCTCGTAGATGCAAATAACACTTTAAGAGCAAAGGACTTGAAGGACATTAACTTTGCAATCAGATACTGAAAAACAGCTGGCAGGTGTCTAAGAGGAAAGCTAAGCAGATGTGTGAAAGAGAATTCACAACTGGAAACATGGCATCCACTACCGTTTTATTTTGTTTTGAAGTGATGTGTTCACTATAAACAGTTTCTCACATATAAAAACATCAAAGCATTTTTCTGTATGAGAAGATGAAGAGGAGGTAAGATCTAGGAAGATTTTATCAATTTCTCTCAGATCATAAATTGAGTAATAAAAGGTGTCAAGTGTTGTAATTTGTAAAGAATGCAAAGGCCTGGGAGAGGCATGCTACAGGGGGACCCAAGTCCATGTTGAAGAAACACGTTGCTTCTGAATGGTGAAGTTGCTCATTTGGCTAATATGCCTTAGATTATTCCTCCTTTGTTCTCCATAAAATTGGCATTTAAATCATCCTCTGATGTATAATCTCATTTTAACCACTTATTAACATTTCTGCTTAAAACAACAATAACAGGACCCATGAACATCCGGATGCGTTCCCTGGCTGTACTTCTAGGACGAAACTGGAGAGAAATCAGAATCTATTCCTTGTGCTGGTAATTAGATGGGAAATTCTAACTAGATCCTCAGGTCACCCGCTGGGGCTCAGAGAGACACTGTGAGCCAGAGCCACACAGTGCAGGAAAGGGTTCCAGGCATAAGGAAGAGAGTAAACTGAGTTCACAAACAAAATTGGCTCAGAGCACTGAAATCCAGTATTTATTTTTATTGGAAAGACAGATCTACAGAGAGAAGGAGAGAAATATCTTCCATACGCTGGTTCACTCTCCAAGCGGCCACAATAGCCGCAGCTGAACTGATCCAAAGCCAGGAGTCAGGAGCTTTTTGCGGATCTCCCACACGGGTGCAGGGTCCCAAGGCTTTGGCCTATCCTCTACTGCTCTCCCAGGCCACAGGCAGGGAGTTGTAAGGAAAGTGGAGCAGTTGGGGCGTGTACTAATGGCCATATGGAACTGCAGCACATTCAAGCAAGAATTTAGCCACTAGGCTAATGCTTCAGACCCCAGATATGATTTTTTTTAAAGATTTATTTTTATTATTTTTGTATTGGAAAGGCGGATATACAGAGAGGAGAGACAGAGAGGAAGATCTTCCATCCAATGATTCACTCCCCAAGTGAGCGCAACGGTCCATGCTATGCCGATCTGAAGCCAGAAGCCTCTTCCAGGTCTCCCACGCGGGTGCAGGGTCCCAAAGCTTTGGGCCGTCCTCGACTGCTTTCCCGGGCCACAAGCAGGGAGTTGTAAGGAAAGTGGAGCAGTTGGGGCATGTACTAATGGCCATATGGAACTGCAGTACATTCAAGCAAGAATTTAGCCACTAGGCTAATGCTTCAGACCCCAGATATGATTCTTAAGAGCATGACGACACCTGTAGGAACCAGTTTTTTACAAAAACAGTGTCTGAAATTCTCTTCTGGAATAACTGCCCATATACATTTTCAAGAAACTACGTTGAGTTTTAGTACATGTTGTTTACCTGGGTTATCCAAAGAGGACTTTATAAGATTGTTTTTATGCTCAATGTCAACTCCTATTTTTAAATCTATTTTTAGTTATTTTCTCACCTGTTTTAGTTGATTTAATTGTCTTTAATAATACTCTTCAGTTTCTCCTCATGATGATGAAATTGTAGTGCCAGTTTGCAAGGAAGGTTATTCACAGTCCTTTTATCTCAAACTAATATATCTCAGTTAGCTGAAGAGGATCTGTCTTTCCCCTCTTTCTACAATCTCAGCATCCCATAAAACAGGTCATCATTATTCCAAGTAGGTGTAATTCATGAATCTCTTTATATTTGGGCTGGCAGTTGGCAGCCACTTAAGAAAGAATCAGTGTTGGGGTGGGGGAAGAGAGAAGGAAGAGTCACACAGATTTTAACATTCTGACTTTGCTATTTCAGAGACAGAAAAATACTTTCAAACTTGGGGTTTGGACACAACTTTTTGTTTGGTCTCTTTCTGATTGTTTCTTCTTAAAAAAGATGATAAATCACATTCCCCCGTCGCCAGGTGCCCTTTAAGTAATGTGGCACGCTTCAACTGATAACCATTTCCCCTCACTGTGTGGAATACAGACTCTATTGGCATATAGGTTTCCTGCATGGTTGAATAGCTTTCTCCCATCTTGCTACACAAAATGTTCATTTCCACAAGCACCTTGGGATGTGAGAGGGTGAAAGTGGAAACCATCAACCTCAGAGCTCGCTGGAGTTCTCAGTGGGAAAGGAAAAAATCACAACTTTGTCTTCTGAAGAGAGGAAATGCAAACAGTTCCTTTCTCAATATGCTAAGTCCTCATTCTCTCGCTCTCTCTCTCTCTTTCACACACACACATGCACACACACACAAGCAATAGGCAAGAACTCTACAAGTGTAATGTCATTCTTATTGGAGGCATGTTCCAGATTCCTGTTACAACTATGACGAACCTGTTATTCAGCTTTCTGTAGGGGCAGGAGACAGAAGGGTCCAAAGGAAAAGAATCAGATCCCTTTTTGCACCCAAACCTTGCCTTTGTTTTTCATTACGCTTTTGGGTTGGGAGCTGTACTTTTATGTACTCCTCTTATGCGTTGCAACAAGACAGTTCAAAATTTATGATTTCCCCACATTCAGTGTCATCATTCTATTCCCCTTTCAACAACCATAAACCAGTAAGCAGGCACAGGATGTGCAATACAAAGTACTCCAGCCAAAAAGCAACCACCACTACAAACACACAAGATGGACCTAAACTTTCCATCTGTGCAGCAGTGGGTAGTCTGTTATTCTCTGCCGGTCAAGAGCTGGGCGTCCCGGTATGTCCACAATTCTTTTATGCTGTGGTCTCACATCTGCAACGTAAAAATAACAGCATTTCTTCTATCCTGATATTGAAAAAAATAATTCTAAGAAATGCAAAACCAAAATAATATGCACTCTTAGAAGAAAGTAGCCACAGGATTCTCTTTAGACCATTCTTTCACTTAATAGATTGGATTGCTATATTTGAAATCTCTCTGCTTCACACTTATTGTGTCATTTTTGTGGGAACTTTACAACTGTCACAAAACTGAATAATCCTGAGTTGTGGATGAGACTGAAGAGAACTCTCCAGGGATCTGAATGTCTTACCTTCCTTCACCAATAGAGCATGCGCAGCCACGCAGCTGAGCAGCGCGCCCACGCCCCAGATGCATGACACCAGGAAGGGCTGCAGTCCTCACTCCTGCTTCTTCTAGGCTTTCCATCCCAGGAATGTCAGAGTAGACACACGAATCACTTGTTCCATCCCTACAACAACAATTAGTTAAGAACGGACTAAATATATTTTTCTCTGATGGGTCAACGAGGACATTTTGAGGAAAAGAACATTCAGTGGGCATCTCAACCAATTTAAGATATTTTGCATTTGGTTACCATTACTTTCCATTTTCACGAAATATCTCAAAGACCAGTCACTATGAGTTTTGTGGAAGATCATTGAGCCCTAAGATCCGGTGAGAACAATCAGATGTTGTTTTTCCATCTTCCTTAAACTGTTACATAATATTGACTTTTTTTCTCCACTAGAAATATAATCTGAAAATTCTCTCCTAACTCCCAAAAACATGACTTTCTGCTGCTTTGTTCATATGACAATACTCAGGGAAGCTTAAAAATGAAAAATACATATTAGTGGGTGCTCACATTTTCATGTGTAGTTATGCACATGTTCACACCGAGAGAACAAGGGAGACTTCCCATTTTTGTCACTCCTTCCCTTTCTCTGTCACTCTATCCTTCAAATAAATAAACAAATAATCCTTTAAAAAACAAAAAAAGCATTTGAAAAGAAAGAACAGAGCAGTTATGAGATTGGTGCTAAATGTCATCCTGCTGAAGTTGTGCAGACAAAATTTCAACTTGTGTTATAGTGTTCTTTGTGTATATCCTGTTCATCAAATGGATTAAAAAGGTTTCAGAGAGCAAGATTAAATTCATCTTTGTAGCTCCAGTATCCTGAACTGATTTATTCATATGTTCACTCAGCACTTATTGAGCACTTGTCCGGTGCCAAGCATGGTGTTAAGTCTAGACATTTTAATGACAATGAATCCAGCACGATTCTAGCCTTAAATGAGCTCACAGCCTAATGGAAATAAAATAGTGTGTAATTCTAGCAACTGTACAATTTGAAAAGCAC